CTCATTCTCCACTCATTTGGCATCTTTTTAGTCTTCAAAATAGTATTAAAAAGTTTAGTAAGCCAAGAAATCCCTTCATCTCCTACGCATTTCCACACCTCTATTGGAATATCATCAGGTCCAACAGCTTTTCCACCCTTCATTTTTTTAAAGTCTCTCTAACTTCAGTTTTACTAATACGCCGATAAAAACAGAAATCTTTACTTTTATTTAGGGTGCTAAGGTCACTATAGTCAATCTTATTTTCACACTCTTCATTAAAAAGTTTAGCAAAATATCTCATCCACCTTTGTTGAATATCATCTTCTAAGAAAAGTATTTTTTTAGCAAAATATCTCCTAGCATCCTCATGCATAGACAAAATCTTAAGATCAATCTTAAGATCTAAAATCTTACTCTCAAAAATATTTTTAAATATTTTTATTAATATTCTTTGAATGCTAATATTTTTGTCAATATTCTTTGAATGCCTTCATTTAATCCTAGAATATCGATTTATTTTATTATTTTATTTTCTGTCACTTTATCTTAAAGTCCAAAACTAATAATCGATGTTGGTTACATAAATTAATATAATTTTTTTAAACAAAACAATTATATCAAAAAATTATTTTAAAAATTTACAAATACTTTATTTGAGATGCCTTTCTTATTATTTTACAAATATATTTTTTACTTAAAATATATATATATTCCCCCCCAAAAAAATATAAATTCCCCCAAAAAAACTTAAAAATATATTAACAATAATGATAAAGCCCGACTTACACCGCGCTTATGACGAATATCGCCGTCAAAAAGAGAACGGCCTTCTTTCTGCAGTGCCAAGGCAACCGTTAGTCGAGATGCTGAGTGTAAAAACCTTATCTTACCTTCACTCTCCCGTCTGCACTATCAGATCCCTTCGCTCTCGCCGCTTCCATCCTCTTGCTCTCAAATCCTCCTCATCTTCTACCTTCTTCTCTTCTTTGACCACCAATATGCCGGGCATCCCCGTCGTCGACCACATTGTCCTCTTCAAGGTCCGCGACTCCACCGATCCCTCGAAGATCGACGCCATGATCGCCAATCTCCGCTCCCTCATCTCACTCAACCTCGCTACCCACCTTACGGCCGGCCCCGTCCTCAGACCCCGCTCCGCCGCAGCTGAAGGTTTCGGCTTCACCCATCTCATCTACTGCCGATACCGCTCCAAGGCTGATCTTGCCACCTACTCCGACCATCCGTCCCATCTGGCCGTCGTTAATGACAATATCCTCCCGATCTGCGATGATATTATGGCTGTCGATTGGGCCGCAGACGTCGATGCTGACGTTGCTCCCTTACCGGGGTCGCTGGTGCGGCTAACGCTTGCTAAGCCACGGGAGGGGATAACGGGCGTGGAGGTTGTTAGGGCAATTGATGGGGTTAGGGATTCCTTTCCGGATTCGGTTCAGGTAAGCTATGGTGAGAACTTTTCGCCGGCAAGGGCGAAAGGATACGAGGTAGGGTTCATTTCGGTGTTTTCAGGGGTGGATAAGGTGGATGAAATTGAAGGGAAAGAGGAGGTGGAGAAGCAGAAGGAAAAGCTGAGGCCGTTGCTGGAGAGCGTCATTGTTATTGATTATTTGGTCCCTTCTCCTGCTTCAGCCTCTGACGGAACTGCCTCAAAGGTTTGATGTTTTAAAAGCTTCTTAGTTATGTTGAGGATAACGGCTGGATTAGTGTGTCAATAACAAAGCTTAAAGCTTGAAAATTTTATAATAATTGTGTGAGGATTTCTACTTGATGGATTGAACAATATTTGGGGATGTATGCTTCTCCATTCCGGGTATTAAAATTATCTTTTGGAATTTGAAGCAGATGGTTTGCCTCTCTATTTATAGCTGATATAAGCAACGTTCCCTTTCAAATAATAATTCCCAAATAGCAAGCGTATGTTTTGATAAATGAAAATTTTCAACGTTGAAAAAAAAAACAAATTTTTGAAATTATTTCTTCGAATGTGCAAAGCATTTTAGGCCAAGGGAACTGATGAGAAATTATTTTGTGCGGACACCGGACCGGAGAACAGTCCGGTTAGGCTCGGTACCTAGTGCGGTACATTTTAAGAGTGACGTGACGCATTTTTATTGGTCTCCGGACACATCCGGACTCCGCACAGAATAATAAATCAACTAAAATGGTGTGATCATGTGATGTTTTTGATGTAGGATCGTGGGTGGTTGGGTAGTGCTCCCTGAGGTGGGTAGGGTAGCAGGAGTGTGAGGAGTGGAACTATTGGACGGTCTGTAGAAGGGCCTAGATTTATGTGAACGGCTCGGGTACTGGGAACGGGTCTCCTCTAAATCAAGCACTAGGCTGTAGGCATTCTTCAGGGTAGTGACGTTCCGGGAAAACAGCTCGTTGCGAAGATCCTCTCACAACCCGATTCGAAACATAGATAAGATCTGTGCGGGGGTGGTAGAGGTCTCCCCTTTGCAGCGAGTCAGGTAATCATCGAAGGATGCGATGTACTCCTTGACTGGTTTATTGTCCTGGGTCAGCCTATTCCATCTATCCAACAACCTAGGGAAGTACGAGGGAGGCAAGTACTTCTGCTTAAGTTCGCGTTTCATAGATGACCAATCGGTGGTGGGGTAATCGTTCCCGGCTTCCCTAAGACTCTCTAAGTTGGTCCAAAACTGACTTGCCCTACCCGTGAGTTTCATCTCAGCAAAACTAACCTTCCTAGCCTCGGAGATATTATAGTACTTAAAGAAGCTGTTCATACCTTTGACCCAGTCCAGGAAGAGATGGGGATCGAGAGTGCCATCAAAGGTAGGAGCATCAACTTTAATATTATTCATGAGTGGTATGTCAAGATCATGACGAGGGTTGTGTCCATAGTGAGGAACTCGATGATTGGCATGATGTTGCCTCTCATTCAGGTAGGTATCATCCCCATACATAGAAGGTGGTCTAGATGATGTAGGCAAAGGGGGGATCAAAACATTTTGAATTGTAATTTTGGAGAGCTTCTACGTCCTCTACTAGAATCAGCTCATTAATATCTAGTAGAGAGCCTTTTAAGCTCATAATTTGGTTATTTATTAGGTTCTCCCTCCCACCCCCCTCTCTTTATGTGGCCCTTTGATTTCCTCCCCCTAGTTCCTTTTCCCTTCCCTATGCTTCTTCGGTTTTCCCCTCCTGGTCCTTCCCGTGGCTAGTTCCTTCCCCTTTTTGTTGTCATTTTCGGTTCCCCTTTTGGCCTTTGGTTATCCCTATTTGGCTGCCTATTTTGATTTCTTCTGGCTGCCTGCCAGTTCCTTCCTTGGCTGCCTTTTTCTGGTTTTTGTGTGGTTGTTTGGGAGTTGTTCCTAGAATGAATGCATGACCTCTATTTCCCTTCTTTAATTGATTTAAATGGAGATGATTATGGACTGTTTGGCTTCCCCTTTTTCTCCTATAAATATAAAGTGTTTTGGCAAATTAAAAAAGTATGTTTTGTGGCTAGTTTTTGGATAAAACCTGCGGGTTTTCTTGGAAAGGCTTGCGAGCTTGTTCCACCTCTTCTACTCTTCTTCTAGGAAAGCTTGCGAGCTTGTCTTCTCTTAGTCTCGGCATTTAACCTCTTTCTTCTCTCCACAAGTTCGACGCCATCTGTACCTTTCTTCTCAACGATTGGCAAGCTTCTTTATGTGTTGTTTCTGTGTCATAAAGTTGTAAGCGTCGTTTGTAAGCATCATTTTATATTATAAAGTTGTTTTAAGTGGAGTCTTTAGTGTATTTTCTATATCCTATGAAGTATTTTTTTTTTGTTTGCATCAATTTGATATCAGAGCCTTGGTTTGTGTCTTCCTAAGTTTTTTTTTTCATGTTTTTTTTAAGTGTCTAGAAAAATGAAAAAAGATAAAAACAGTGATCCAGTGGTGGATGAATATCATCCATAAAATATTGAAGTACCAATTCCAATGGATAAATGGATTCCATCAGAAGGAGATTCAACAGATCCGATACAAAACGAATTATACAGACTACAGATGAAGATGCATATGTGAACGGAGCAATATATGAAGAAAAAGAAGCATCCGCAAGAACAATTCAAGCAAGAATGTGAGATTATTCTGAAAAGGTATGAAACAAAGATTCAAGAGCTAGATGCACCTCTTTCATCTCCTTGGAATAAATCTAAAGCAACCTCATCGGGAGATGAGCTTTTTCAATCGGAGGAGAATTGATGTAGGCAAAGGGGGGGGGGGTTTAAAATATTTTTAATTGTAATTTAGGAGAGCTTCTAGATTCTCTACTAGAATCAGCTCATTAATGTCTAGTAGAGAGCCTTTTAAGCTCATAATTTGGTTATTTATTAGGTTCTCCCCCCCCTCTCTTTATGTGGTCCTTTGATTTCCTCCCCCTAGTTCCTTTTCCCTTCCCTGTGTCTCTTCGGTTTTCCCCTCCTGGTTTTTCTTCGCACGGCTAGTTCCTTCCCCTTTTTGTTGTCTGTTCCGGTTCCCCTTGTGGCCCTTTGGTTTTCCCTGTTTGGCTGTTTGTTCTGGTTTCTCCTGGCTGCCTGTTTCGTTCCCCTATGAAGCCCGTTCCTTCCCTGGCTGCTGTTCCAGTTCTCCTAGTCATTGTCCCGGTTCCTTGGGTTGCTATCCCGGTTCCCCTGGCTGCCTTTTTCTGGTTTTTATGTGGCTATTTGGGAGTTGTTCCTGGAATGAATGCAGGCCCTCTATTTCCCTTCTTTAATTGATTTAAATGGAGATGATTATGGGCTGTTTGGCTGTCCAATTTTCTCCTATAAATATAAGGTGTTTTGGCAAATTAAAAAAGTATGTTATATGTCTAGTATTTGGATAAAACCTACGGGTTTTCTTGGAAAGGCTTGCGAGCTTGTTCCACCTCTTCTACTCTTCTTCTAGGAAAGCTTGCGAGCTTGTCCTCTCTTCATCTCGGCTTTTAACATTTTTTTTCTCTCCGCAAGTTCGACGCCATATGTACCTTTCTTCTCAACGATTGACAAGCTTCTTTAGGTGTCATTTCTATGTCATAAAGTTGTAAGCGTCATTTTATATTATAAAATTGTTTTAAGTGGAGTCTTTACTCTTTAGTGTATTTTCTATATCTTAGGAAGTGTTTATTTTTGCTTGCATCACTAGGTGGGGTGTAGGGGGTAGGATGTTCTCTAGCTCGCTCAAGTGTATCAAAACGCTCAGTGGTGTCTCTATGAAGCTCGGCTAGGTCGGCTTGGTTCTCTTTGAGTTGCTGGTTAATGTTGTTCATTTGGCCTTCCAAAAAGTCTAAAGTCCTACCAAGTTGTTCCGGCTCCATTGGCGTTCACTATGGGACACCTATAGTGACTAGGATGCAAAGGACAACAAATGATATGGTTAAAACACACTTATGGCTTGCAACATGCGTGTGGAAATGTAAAGGACAACAAATTCTAAGAGGTCTAAAAGACTAGATGCAATAGTGAAATTAAACAACTAGCAAAACAAAAAGATGATAAAGAACAATCTATGATGTATCCTAGTACATGCAATTAGAGTAAACCATGCTCTGATACCAGATGATGGACTAAGATGCTTTTAATGAATGCAATAAGAATTTGCACAATTCCTTCATAAGAGCTAGTATGATTAAAACTTATTAGCAATTTAAAACGACAAAATAAAATGAGAAAAGGGCACTTAGGCCAAACCACGTGCCAAATGCTAGAGTTATCAAGATAACATAAAATATCAATACAATGCAAATTAAGTAGCTTTCAAACAAAAATCCCTACGCTAACAATGAGATTAGAAACATAGGTATCAAACTCTCATCCTACGTTTATCAGGCTTGGCAGAAATAGATGAACAAGATCTTCATGAATATATCAAACCACAAGAACAAGTTAGACAAGGAGAATGGGTGAGAAGGAAGATTGGTAAACCTTTATCACGGTTGGGTTGAAATCCTCCACTGAACGGTGCCAAGTTCTTCTATGGCCTCGATAAGGGTGTCTAGAATGCGCTCTACATACTCTTCGATGGTGTTGTCGATGTTCGAATTGACGCCAAAGAAGGTAGAATGGAGGATGCTAATAAACCCTTGTTCGTCGTAGGCGAGACCATAATCACGATCTGGATCGGCCATGCATCGATCTTGTGGCGTCGTAGTATTGACGTAAGCGCTCTTTTCTGTCCCTGCAAATTTTCCTCTAGAATACAAGTGGTGGAAGGTGGAGGAGGGTGGTCGGCCACAAGGAAGAAGCTTGGAAAAACTAGGCTCAGATTTTGGTGGAGTTGGGTTGAATTTAGGAGAGGATTTTGGTGGGAAAGCTGTGAATAATTTCCAAATCAAACGTTCTTGAGTTGGAAAATATTTAGAGAGAATATGAGACAAGAGGGGGGCGGTGGAGCTAGGAGGTGGGGATTTAATTCCAAAAGTGGAGGTGTGATGTTGGAAAGGAATTCAAGAAGGTGGGGCCTTGGGACGGCGAAAGGAGATGAGGAGGAGCTTTGAATTCTTTCCAAAAGATCCACTTGGATTTTGGAAACAAATCCCAAAGGGGATCCAATGGGGCCGGCGGCAATAGGAAGAGGGGGTGTGGTTTAATAAGGCAACAAAGCTTACTTAAATTAATAAATTATATTTGTGAAGAAATATTTTTTCCCAAATTAATTTAAAATTCAAAAGGCTATGATTTGGAAAGTTTCCAAAATTAGGATTTTTAATTTAGGCAATAATTTCAAATTCAAATAGATTTTAATTTGCTCTTTAATTGCATTACCTAAATTATGAATGCTAAAGTAGGAAAGGTTTAATGGCAAGGGAGTTAGGAGGGAAACCAAGGAAGGGGCCGGCGGTGGTGTGGATGGGCTGTGGATGGTGT